ACCCACCAAGTTTCCTTAACCATCTATGTAATCTTCAGCTGAAAGGGGAGAAGAGTTGGAGAAACGTTTTTGGCTTATTGTGATAGTCTTACTCTTCACAGGCAAAAACAGAATCACAGTAGCTACGGGATAAGACTAGAGTCTGGGATTTTGATACCTGTTTCAAATGAAGTGAAGTTTATATTTTATCCCCTGTGTCTTCATTCTGCAATCGAGTACATGTTTATGGGTCCCTGTGCTCCTATGACCATGAAAAGTATGCATGACCTGAGAGTCTGTATGAATAAATAAATGAAGGAAAGCTTGTGTTTTCTGAAGCCTGTAATTGTTTACTTATTACAGTGTGGAAAATGGGTGAAGCTTCAGCTGGCTGAATCAACACCAAATTTATTAGAAATTGGCAGCAATCAAGATGAGACTAAAAAACTACTGCAAGATCATGAATTCCTCCTAGCTAAACTTAAGGTAAGATGTGCTAAGACCACACAAAAGTACATCTAGTCATTATAGTCATCTAGTTCAGGTACAACAGTTGACATAGCTGCCTGGGCCTCCTGTTGCAACGTGGTTGTTAGGTTACAGTCCACACAGAAAAAAATACGTTCAGCCTTTGTCAGTGTAACAGATCGAAGTTAGGCCTCTGCACTGCAAAAATATGCTCAGTGTTAATTACTATTTTCTGACAACAACAGTAAAGATGCACTGGTTTTTCCACTTTATACATTACTGTCAAGTCAAGTGAAAAATTATGTTACAAAAAGTTTGATTAGATTTTAACAGCTGTAAACACAAGCAAGCTCTTTGTAAGTGTGAAGTAGATATTCCAGGCACATTTTTATCAAATATTAATTGATGTAAGTTATGCTACAGTATCATTCTTACCATGAAATACTGCTTGTCTTGAGCTAGGAAGATTTTAGCTAAGTAACAGTCCTAAAATCAGATTTTAGCATTGTTGAGAACAGATTATAACAGTGACATTTGGACACAGAGTGACATGATTGCATGAAAAAGCTGAATTAGTTTAAATGTGGATGTTTGACACTGAGAAGAGTCTAAAAGCACCTAAGAAGAAAATTTGTTTTCTTGTTTTGATAGGGCAGATTGACTTTATATCTGTACAGAAATAAATTCCTGTAAAATCTTGGAGCTGTGCACAGCAACTTATCTTAATAGATTCCATCTATTTTATTTTTTTGAGATTACATAAAATTCAGATCTGAAAGAGCAAACATGATCTGGATAGGATCCAGTGCACTTGATTTAATACTAGTGACTATGTGCTTCCCCAGTCATTATAAATCTCAAACATGAGGTAATTTAATACAGTATATAGAGAATGTAATCTAATATGGTGCATAGTGTGGATTTTGAATAGTATGAAGAATATCATTAAAAACAAAACAAAACAAAAAAAACACCCAAAAACATAGAGGGTGGTTCTGCTACCTTTACTTATGCAAGTGCCTCATCTTTATTGCTGTCAGTGCTACACTCAGGCATTCTTGGAACAAGCTGCTGTATCCTGTTTGAACAATTCAGAATTAGCTGAGTTCTTACACACTGACAGCAGGAAGAAGCTGAGTTTTGTCTCCTAGTTGTCAAAAATAAATTTTAGAAAGTGGAAAAAGAAAACGTAATAATTCCAATGTTTAAAAGAAAAACAAAGATTCAAATAACACTTTACCATCAAGTCAAACTTTAAAGTGTTATATATTTATATTAGATATTAGGATATTGTTCTAACAGAGACCTTGTAGGTGTTACTGAAAACTTGTAAGGACACGAACAAGGACAGTAAAACAATAAAGCCCTCGCCATAGACTCCAATTCAAAATCATTGTATTAATGAAAACAGAAAGAAAAAAAAACAAACAAACAACCAAAACAAAACTTGTGATAGATGAAATCTCTGGATGCATCCCCAAGTTGCTATTCCATTTTTGTTTATGAATCTTTAAACTAAAATTATGTTTTTGATATGTTTCTTTTCATTAAAAAATTACTTAAATAGTGACAAAAATAAATAATCCAAGAACGTTTCATGCTCTCTGCTCATTCAAATGTTTGACTTTCTATTCTTATTAGTTCAGATGCATGGAACCTTAAGTTTGTTTTTATTTAGCAGCATTTACCTTGTTTTCTGCTCACAATAAATAGTAAAATAATAATCACAAATATTTTAGCTAATATTGATGAAAATGCTAAAATTTTTCACTCCTATTTGTAAGACCTTGTGACTGATTGCTTGAATCCAGATGACTGATCCTTATTTGGATCCCCAAAGCTTAATAGATTATATCAGATCAGAAAATTTATTATGCATAAACTGTCAAAGAATGCTTGTCATCCAAATGTATCAGGAACAAATACTCATCATTTCATGTTTTATACCTGCAGTCCTTGCAAAATTCAGCATTGATTAATGAATATTCTATAAAAGGATTAAGTTCAAAATGACTATTTTTTCCTCAATAATTTAAGAGCTGCAATAATACAGGACTGCAATGTCGTCATATTTCGTACTGACTGTGCATTTTTCAGACATGACCCTTTCTGTCTTATAGTAAGCTGTTAACACTTGTCAGTAATTATTCAGTCTTAAGTTACTAAATCCACTCATCGGAAGTTTTTACAAGAATGATTCTCAGCCTTTGAAGTATTGATTATAGTAATTTTTTCCACTTAACATTTGTTCATGAATTATGCATTAGTTATGTGAAGATGGATAAAGAGGTAGTAATGTTTCAGTCTTCAACATTTATGGACATAAAGATTTAGTTATGAGGGGATAAAGAATTTAGAAATGTGGGCAGGAGAGGGGTGGAAAGGATGACACAAAATTGCAGTTGTTATGAAGTATTGATTATAGTAATTTTTTCCACTTAACATTTGTTCATGAATTATGCATTAGTTATGTGAAGATGGATAAAGAGGTAGTAATGTTTCAGTCTTCAACATTTATGGACATAAAGATTTAGTTATGAGGGGATAAAGAATTTAGAAATGTGGGCAGGAGAGGGGTGGAAAGGATGACACAAAATTGCAGTTGTTACATGGTCCTTGTTTTGATGAGGTCCAATATATGCAATTTTATTTGATCTTTTACCCTTAGTGAGCAACATAATTTTGTAAATTTTAACAATAATTAATTATACAAATACATGAACATTCTCCCAGTTGCAGTCTTATCCAGTACAGTTTTTAATTCTTCCATATCGGCTACAAGTTATTATTTTCATTGACTATCTTGTTCCAACTGACTATCAATGATAGTCTGTGGCAGCTTAAAACATATTTAGTTTTGCTCTTAATTAGATCTTGGTACTTGTAATGCGTTATAAATAAGTAAGAAGATTAGAAAGTTACATTATCGCAAAAGGAACAAAAGTTTATCTTTTTTCTACTGTGCTTCATTAAAAAGGAGGGAGGATGGAATCCTTGTTTTTTAATTTTAGAGCTAGAAATGGTTTACGAGTAGAAAACAGTATAATTAAGAATTTCTCCACTTGGATCCCCAGGAAATGGATACAATTTTGTATATTGTGGAATTTTTCAGTCACCTGAATCTAAAGCACAACAGTGAGGCAGCTTTGAATTGTTTTTCTATTTATTTTATTGTTGTATTTAAAGAATGCAAAATAAATCATGTTTCCTGACAGATACCAATACTGGATACACCTATGCTTAACTTTGCTGATTAGTTCAATCCAATTCAAAGTTAAGCATTTGTGCAGCACAGGCAAAAATTCCTGAACCAGCAATGATTTGAATGTGAAACTAGGTCTGCTTAAGGGAAGAGTTAGATGATTAATACTAAACACATCTTTGGAATCAGTGCTGAAGAACCTATGGACTTTTAGAAGATAATTTATGGAATGGTTGACCATGCTGCCATTATCCCATGTTATTTTGCAAACTCATTCTGGGTTTTGATAATCCTTTTGCTTTTTAGCTTCATTATTCTCATCCCAGCATATGTATTATAAGTTATAATCAAAATATTCAGGCCAAATTCTTTCATCGACTTCATACATTGAGGATTCACGGATGTAAGGGCAAAATTTGGCACAGTAACCAGTCATCAGTTTACGGTACTTCTGATGCTAGAGGAGAAGGAATGTAATCCAGCTCACTATTTCAGGGAACTGTTTTTGACTTAGCAATGTTATCAGGAGTTAAAAAAACCTAAACAACCAGTTTGACACTCAATAAGGCAGATGGTACTTTAAAGGCTACAGGAACAGACCTGTTGAATGAGAAAGCAGTAATTTTTAGAACATTTCTTTACTGCTTTTAATGTTCAGAATTATTGTGATAAAAACTGGTGTGTGTACTTTAGGCATTAGGAAAAAACATATCCAAAATAGTTTCCTTTGGTAGAAGGTACTCTGTCATACTCATTACTGATTTAAATTTGTTCCATTGAATTTGGGAATTGGGAACACCCTACTATTTTAATAAAAACCAGAATACAACTTTTGAAAAGGTCCCCATTTCAAATGTTTATGGATTAGGAAACAGACATGTTATTGTTAATAGAGTTAAAGAATAAATGCTGAACAGGAAATGGTAAAACTGAGACTAAACAAAAAACATGTACATGATGTATACAACATCTAGTTAAAACTTCTTTTGGTGCTCTTGAAATGTCATTTATAGCTATAATATTCATGTCTTTTATAGTGGAAATTATTCTATTTGTTTTTGTTGAATTGTTATACTGACTACTAGTAGCTCAGAAGATTAATGAAACTTCTTTAGCAACAGTGATTTAAGAGGTAAACTATAGTTCAGTTTCTTAATTTTGTTCAGTGATGCCTAATTGATCAGGAAAGTTTGTTTATGCTTGTCATCTGTTCTAGGCAAACATACAGATTTGTTTTCCTTTGGACATAAATTTGGTGTTTGTAAGTGTTAAAGAATTACATATTCTTTTATAATTGATGAATTCATTTGACAGGTCTAGATGTTGCCAACACTTATATGTATTCATTGTTGCAGGTTCCATGAACTGAAATAAAATGTTTCTTTTGAACGTGGTTAAGAATTAAACATAAATGTTTTCAGGTTTGGAATCATAGCCCTTTCTCTTTGTGATTTGGCCCTTCAGTAGTCTCAACTAGTATGTTCTGATTCTAAACTAATATATTCTCTTTCTGTTTTGTTAAATTAGACCATATCAGCAGTAACGGTTTTGCTGAAAACATCAACTTCTGTGATTTCATGCAAGTCTCCTTCCCAACATTTGCCTCATCCTTGTTTAGATGACCTTCAGCAGATTTATAGGTTCTGGAAATGTAAATATATGTATATATACGTTTTGATAACTCATTCTTTAAAATTTAAAAAAAATGTGAGAAGAATCAAAACCAGAAAAAACTTGAGACACAAAGCTTCCAGGAGGTAAAATGATATTGATTGCAATGTGCGTACACATTTCTCTGCCTTTCTTCTGTTCTCCA